ATTGAATTTTTGTTCAATAAAAATCTTTGAAACGCGACTGTAGCTTTTTTTCCCCAAAACTGTCTTCAAAATAAGGGTGCGTCTTATATTCCGGAAAATACGGTATTTTGGAAACGATAAATAAGTGTGCGTGTATAGATAGACAGTTAATGTAAGAATTAAAATGATAAATACAGCTTTCTCATTTATTCATTTTAAGTGAAGCAACCATTCTGTATTTCAGACCTAAGTTGTTTTAGGATATGTATTTTTCATTTTTTTATTTCACGTTAGCAACGAACAATACCAAAAAAAGTTTAAAACTAAAATATGAATACTTCTGTAGTCTAGCAAAAAATTATTATAAAAAATATAACAAAATATTCTCTGGGATGGAATAACAACTCAACAACTGAATATGATTTAAAATTAAAATCCACTTTTTTTTACAATGTTGCAGTTTACAACTGTTTATTACGGATAGCTAAAAGAATAAATCAACGTTTAGCTGGCATCCATCAGACACCTACATACCATGTATTACATACTTTCAAATATTGTATTCCAGCTTCAATCGTAAAACACAGTGCCATCGTTGCTTTGTTGGAATATTTTTAGTTTAAAAATAAATCGGTGTGCGGAAGCTGGTTTAAAATTTCCTCTTCGTAATACAATATATGAATTCTTGTAATTTTTACGTTCTGGAGTTAATCACATACAAGGTTCTACAGTATTTTGTAAAATATATATATATATATATATATATCAACCACAACGAATCATTGTCAAGCATGCGTTTTGCATATCGACAAATACACACAGACCAAATGTTCAATGTACCAGTGTACAGCATATGACAGCAAAAAAACAAAACATCTTGTGTCGGCAATATCTTAAGAGCATCATCTTCCTTGATATTATGTTGAGTGAATATAAATGTATTCAATATTTTTTTATGGATAAAACTACAACCCATTCAAACCGGGGTGGGGGGGGGGGTGATAAAGAGCAATCTAATCCATATCTCTGAGAAAACGCTCATCATACACACATGAGCACTAGCTTGTTCTTGCACAGCACATGCTAAGCTGCTTCGACAGCTGCGACACATCTGTACGGATTGTTAATCATTCTTCGTAATTGTCACTTGGTGCGTTTTTACTAGCAAAACAAACTAGTGAGACGGAGTCTATACAATTCCTAGAATACTTGATGTGTGGATTGGGTGTAAAATATCTCTAACTGTACAGCAAATGTTCAACGTTATTCTACAGCACTAAGCGCACCAATCCAAAGCTACTTCGCTGTTATTTTCCAGTCATGATGCTCTGGTTCAATAAAATTCGTCTTACAGCTAGTAAAGTCATCACTGAGTAGGAAGACCAGATTTTCGAAGTATAAAACCAGGACGAATTCAGATTTTATTTAAGATCTTAAAACTGGATCCCCCTCCTTTTTTTTAAAGGAAAAACTATAAGCAATCAGTTATGTAAATATCACCAGGTGAAAAGTATTCTTTACTTACATTACTGCTGCTAGATACCTCTCTAATAAAAAAGTGAATGTTTGTCGTAAAATTATGAGCAACTGCCATTCATGCTCATCCTTGAGTTACTTTAAATAAATGTTTCACGATTTGAATATCGAAATTCGACAGTGGCGTACAGCATTTGCCGTTGGCATTCATCTACCTTTTGTTTCGGGGTGTATTTGAGCCAAGTGTCCTATATGTTATTTAGGTTATATTGTTTTCACCACTAGGTGGATAACAGTCCGTATACAAGAACATGTTAATTCAAGATCTACGTCATATTCAAGTATTAAGAAACATGCGTTGTAAGACTGTAACGGAGCCATAAACAGAGGACCATTTAGATTCCTCGATACGACCAACAATGAACAAGAACTGCACCTAAAAAAGTGTCTGTTAATTAAAAAACTTGCATCTACATTAAATGAACAGAATAGTACGGTTCGTCTATTAAAGAGCAGGTATAGTATTAATTATGGATGTTAGTTTACCTAAGAAAAATGTTGCTTATTCAAAGTCAAAATTATCATTAAATACTCTAAAACGCGTTGAAAAATCGTGAGAAGATTAATTTCTTCAAAAAAGTTTGAGTAATAAGTCAATTCCATACTAACATACTACAAACCCACTTCGTACTTTTGTTCTTTTTTGTTAAGTGCAAAGTTACACAATGGGCTACTGCGTAGGAAGTCTTAATACTTCCCCCCGCCTCCCTCAATGCCAGTTTATAAAACAATACAAATACACTTTTTATAAAGTAGCAGGGTTTAAATAAAATTAAAAACACATTTTTTGTTTTTGTTGCATCAGGATTCACAGTAATTTGTAAGATGGCCTTCATACTGCATTGGTCCACACCCTGAATTTTCCTCATTGTTCACTTTGAAAAATAAAATAAAATCTCATACCATGGTATGTTTGGGCATATCTATTAGTCCTCTATACATCGTGAAAGATATATCATTTTTAGCCTTACTTCGAAAGTTTATACGTAACACACCTTTTGGCTATTAGTGCGTGGACCCGAGTTTTAGTGGGACGGTATATCATTTCACACTGTTCAAAACTGTTCTGTTAGCTTGCATGTTATGACTTCACTGGAACTTTTCCCACAGCAGTCTGACCTAAATAGATAGTTTAAGATAAACAATGGCTCGACACAGGGTATACAACGAAAACTTTCCAGAACTCAAGTCACCCAGTGACAGTCACCATCACTAGCCATGACTAATTTTCAAGTGTCATTTTAAAATAATCCATCAGGATGTTTTGGTGGTGGTGAAAGTAAGCTTCTACTTATCACTGCTTAAAAATTTCTTCACTTAGAAACCCACTTGAATACGAAATATAAAACACATTACATTAGATTATAAATACTACTTGTAAAACACAAGTATTGTATTGTAATTAGTAACGAAGAACATGAAAAACAAAAGAGCTAAACAAAACTATTACAAATAAGTCCAATTTATAAGGACAGTATTTTCCTGTCAAGTTTGAGTATTTCACATCAGTTGTTTATTTGTTTAGCACTATCCCAAAGGAACAACCGAATCACACATACCTGTCAATGCACAACAAAGTAGATGAGCACTCAGTAGAGCGTACACCTCCGCCACACAGCGAGATCATCTTCAGCCCTCAGAAAATATGAAAATGTGTTCGTATGTCCGTCGTTATCAATGGACACGGACCATTTTTGGCAAGTCAATGAGAATTAACATTCTAAATATGTCCACCAAGTTTCATCAAAATCCTATCACTTCTAACTGAGCTATAGTGCAAAAACAGTGTGAAAATCGGTCCCTATGTTAACAGATAGGGAGTTTTTCTATTTTCGTGATCTTGACCCTCTAAAAACTAATCAATACTAAGTTGAGTCAT